AAAAGAGAGATAGGTACCTACTACTGTGCTGAAGAGTGTATTCGAAGATTTTTCTGGTATTTAAGGAGGCGGACTTTTTTGGAAGGGCTATAAGTGCACTTATTTTAGAATTGTTAAAGTGTTTTAATCGGGGTTGTTGCGAAATTCGTCGAAATTAGGGACGAATCAGAATATTTGAATATTCGAATTGCTTGAATTTGCTCGAATATTCGGATTTTCGAAAGAGACCTATTCAAAATGTTGCGCTATTATATCGAATTATCTCAATTATTCGAAAAAAGGAATTCGTATTCGAAATGATCGAATGCTCGAATTTTCAGAACAGCCCTATTCAAAATATTGCCTTACCATGTCGAATTACTTGAATTATTCGACTAAAGAATTCGTATTTGAAGTTATCCGCATTATTCGAATTATCCGAATAAGGAATTCCTATTCGAAATTATCCGAATAGTTCGACTATTATTCCTATTCGAAATTATCCGAATTATTAGAATAAAGAATTTGTATTCCAAATTATCGAATATTCGAATTTTCAGAACGGTCCTTTTTAAAATATTTTCCTATTATGTCGAATTACCCAAGTTATCTGAATAAAGAATTCGTATTCGAAATTATCCGAATTATTCGAATAGTTCGACTATTGTTCCTATTCGAAATTATCCGAATTCTTTGAATTATTCGAATTAGGAATTCGTATTCGTAGTTATCCGAATTATTCGATTAATTCACTTATTATTCCTATTCGAAATTATCCGAATTCTTTGAATTATCCGAATTAGGAATTCGTATTCGAAGTTATCCGAATTATTCGAATAGTTCGACTATTGTTCCTATTCGAAATTATCCGAATTCTTTGAATTATTCGAATTAGGAATTCGTATTCGTAGTTATCCGAATTATTCGATTAATTCACTTATTATTCCTATTCGAAATTATCCGAATTATTTGAATTATCCGAATTAGGAATTCGTATTCGAAGTTATCCGAATTATTCGAATAGTTCGACTATTGTTCCTATTCGAAATTATCCGAATTCTTTGAATTATTCGAATTAGGAATTCGTATTCGTAGTTATCCGAATTATTCGATTAATTCACTTATTATTCCTATTCGAAATTATCCGAATTATTTGAATTATCCGAATTAGGAATTCGTATTCGAAGTTATCCGAATTATTCGAGTAAAGAATTCGTATTCGAAATTATCGAATATTCGAATTTTCAAGTCAGCCCTATTCAAATGTAATACTGCTTTATTACATCGAATTATCCGAATTATCTGAATAAAGAATTCGTATCCAAAGTTACCCAAATAAACCACTCGTATTCCAAATAATCCAAATTATTCGAACAGTCAAACTATTCGAACTTTCACAATCCTACTTTCGAATCTTCATCTCGACAAACCACATTTCGATCAATAAACATTACTTTTCATAAAATTACATACGTCCAAAGTTCCATTATCAATACAGCCGCTTCATCTCCGCGATAATCTAATAGAAACGAAAAGCTGTCGACGGGAGAACGAGCGAATAGCGTTGCAATGGTAATTCGATAACACGGTAACAATGGCCACCGATGGTTAACCAAGTGACGTTCACGCGGACGTAACTTGTCCGCGCAACTCGGGAATTGCAACTGCATCAAACTGGATGAAAAAAAAAAAAAATATCCAGGCGTTTCTCGAAGAATTAAGGCGTTTTAACTGCTCGTTTAAGCGGACGTAAGCACGAGGCTGTAACTGTTCTAAAGACTCTCCGTCTAAAGTACCCTTTTTATCGTCTCTGTTTTTATACCTACCCCTTGTTCACGGTTAACGTATTCCATTTCACGCGTATCCCTTTCATAAACCTTGCATTCCATTTTCAGGCATTTCCACGTGGAACTGTGCCGCCGAAAACCCTGATAACTTTCATATCTAACCGACGTGTGTGCGTATACAAGGAGATATTGCGAACAAATAACACCGAGCAACAAGGAAGATCGAAGATCGGTGAGTGTCGTTTTGTTCGAAATTCCTGGAAAAAAAGGATACTTCTTCTTTCTTTCCTCTTTTCAAACGACGCAGTAAACACGATGTCGTATCTTGACCGATATTGCAGAGGGAATTACGGAAGCCAGATAGGTTTCTCCGTTTAATTTGTGTGCTAATGCCGTTACCGTTACGAGCAGCATCGCCGGATTTGCGTTTCATTTACTTCGTAATTTATTCAATGACCGACACTTTTGTTCCGCGAATCCGTCCGACGCAGACCAGCCACGTATATACCCAGTTTACTCTGTGTCTTTATTGAACCACGCCGAGAGAGAAACTGCCTTTTAAAATTTCACAATACCAAGATGCTCCTGTATTATTCCTCTTGTACCGAGAAGAAGTTGAAAGAAAGGCGGGGAAAAAAGGAAGGAGAAAGATAGACGAGAATGAAAGATCATTTCGATCGTAGTAGCCTCTCCGAGGGTTTTTCTCTATGAATCTTTAAGAGACGCGGAATGCTACATCGTAATAGTAATCCTGGAGCATCATGAAAGAAGAAAGAGCGGTCACGGTTTGCTGGGGATACAGATGAAACAAAATCTGAGGCAAACTGGCTGGCTACACCGTTGGGGATTTTAATTCTCAAAGGTCTGTGTACATATTTTATACGGTTGCCCGTTTCGTATCTTGCCGTGTGATCGGCAACCGGTCCCGTCCCACCTACGTCAAAGATAAATAAATTCTTCAACGAGTACCGGGAACACTGTCTCGAACTACTAGAGGGGAGATCACGCGAAACGAATACGGCCACTCGATAATTCAACCCTCGTGGCAATTTAACGGCCTAAGAAATCCATCGGCTGCAAAATCGGTGGTAATGTGAATCGTG